TCTCCTCACAAGTAGTGTGAGGTAACAGATAGCTTTAGTTCTTACTCTCACAAATTAGTTTTATTTCTTTCACAATAGAAAAACATAAATTTCAACATGTAACCATTGATTGCTCTACAAAATTAAGATTAAAGTATAAAATTATAAAAACTTTTGGCCTAGTAACAAAAATGGATTTTTAGACGGGTTTAAATCCAATTTTACCCTTTCAAATTCATTTTCTTTGACCTATAATACATTTTAGCTTCAATAAGATGTGAATATTGCCAATCACCAGTGTTCTGATAAACATTCATATTTTAGTAGCAAGTTTCATTCACCACTACATATAGATGCTTTCTTCAAATTTTATTCTTTCTACATCAAGTATCTCAGACATAAATTAATAGACTTTCATACATTTTCTTTTAATATCATCTTTAACAAGTCTCATGAAGGGTCAGGAACAAGTCTTGAGAAGGCTTCTTTCAACAAAGGCTTTCAAGTCTTCATTTGTCACTATGCACCCTCCCTTGACTAAGGAAACTGGGGTAAGATTATGGTGAGATAGAGAGGCATGCTCATGTGATGGTAGGGTTGGGTCCTGTCTTAATTTAATTTGGAATACTTGGGTTATGGCTATCACTCTAATTTTGATTTTATAAAACATCATTTGTCTTGTTTTGAGTTATCTGGGACATCAAAATTTGTACATGGAACAAATATACCATTCATCTCATTTCAGATTTGTTTGGAAATTATCTTCACTCCTTATCACCATGTGTCAGAGAGACCATTTCAATATGAAGGAAAGGTAGTAAGTAACGACATTTAATCAAGAGAGCTGCACAAAATGTACAGCAACAGAGCAAATATCACTGACATATCCTTTGAGCTAGAACGAGGGGATCTTTTGTGGTGATAGATTTGTTATTTAAGCAGAATAATTTTTACTATATGGAGAAGCTTATGCTTTTTATACCTTAAAGCTAAACATGTGACCAAGGCTAAAATGACCTTTTCATTACAATAGCAACACACACACTAAAAATGTTGATCTTTTCTGAAGGAGAGGTGTGGGGAATCTTGAATGGTGATGGGGGAGGGAAGAAGCTGAGGGGGAGGGGAAGTTGGGAAAATTGTATCAGGATATAATATATGAGAAAAGAATAAAAATGTGCCATTTATTAAAATGAAATAAAGCTGCTTTAGAAAGTCACTATTTTCAAGTGGTCATAGCAACTGCAAATCACCTCTAAATTGATAAAAAAAAATTCTTTGAAAGGAAATCTCCAACATGATTTTGAAAATATTTCAGGAACTATTTTGAATAAAGTTAAAAACTATTGCATAATTTGGTCCACATATTCAACAGCATGTTTCATGACAATTCAGGATTCAGTATAGATCAATATTTGATTATAGTCTAGGCATAAATTTTTTTTATGGCACAGACTTATGAATATTTAGGTAGACATACCTATCATATAGTAAATTTTTGTTAGGGTTAGTGAGCATTAACGACAACAACAGCAACTGCAACAGCAGCAGAAGCAACAACGTATCCCACACTTTCACGGCATGATACAAGCTCTACAAGGATGGAGAAGATAAAAAGTGAGAAAAATCTTAGTCATCTAGTTTAATATTATAAAAATAAGGAAAGTAAGATCCCAAAGAGCAATTATAGTAAAATTACCAAATAAAAAACATAAGTCATAAAAATATATGGAAGCATTTTACACAATAATCCTGAAAAAGAATTGAGGTGATTTGTACTTTGAATCATAAGAAATTCTGATTTTAGTATAATGTATCTAAAAGTTGAAACTCATCGCATTGTTTAAATTGTTCACATACTGTAGGAATTATTAGAATAGTGACTGTTTTCTTTGTAGTGTCCTTGAAATACTATGTTCATTTAAGTCTGTAAATGGTAGAATAACCAACCTTTAAAAGTGGATTGACATCCACTTGGTAACCATTAACTTATGGAGAGGTCACAGAGATCTGGAGGCAGGCTATGTGTTTGAGGAGGACAACCAATTGAAAATCACATGTTATCCTCCTTGTGTTTAAGACTGCTTCACTATTTATCCTCATTGTGATAAATCTCTTCAGAGGCCTTTGAAGAGCCCAGAGAAAAAAGGTCATGTACATAAGTTAAAAACCATCCCCATATCCAATAATAAAGACATGGCTGTGTTTTGAAACTGGAGAAACACCACATATTAAAGAGGCATGGGGTAGAGAATAAAATAAACAAATTTTACTATATGAAAAAAGTAAAACAAAGATGACTGGGAAATCTATATTCTATTTAAATTATGTTCATTTTGTACTGGTAGAACATCTATAACAATTATATAGTGATTTTCAGGAACAAATACTTTTGGAGCTTACACAAAGACAGAAAGACAAGCAAATCTGTATTCCTCAATGACTAATGATTAGAGTTCAACAACAAAATAAAATATTCATAATTTGGTTTATTTTCTTTTGGATTTATTAATAATTTTAATATATATTTATATATGTATGGCTTTGAGAAAAGACAAAAGAAATACTCTAACTCTTCCCTGGTCATACAGTGGAAAGTATCAGCTATTGCCCTATTTTTTCAGCAGCAAAAGACCGTAATACAGTTCTTTCTGTACAGATTAAAACTCCATACTTGAGCTTAACTATGTACAGAGAAAAAGGTCAAGTTTCACCTAGCACTGTACCTTTATATTACAGGAATGTCAATCACTTTCTCCTTAATCTAAATATATATATATATACATTCATACATATGTGTATATAATATACCCTGTATCATTTTTTTTAACATATAAACCTTAGTGTTCTTTGTCCATTCGAGTACAAAGTGAATAAAAATGTTATGGTTGCACTGAATGACCATGCAATTCAATTTTGCTGATGTTTTCCAATAGTGCTCAAAAAATTGATATATAAAAATATTTTACTACCAAATGCATTAATCCTGCCAAATGTAAACCTTTAATAATTGAAAGGACTAGTGCATGATCTTAACAAGAGGCTAATTTTTATATTTTAATAAAATAAAGGAGTTTTGTAGTGATATGTGAAAGGTCTTGCAACTTTTCCACAGATTTTAGGTAGGCTGAACGATCTCTCTCTTACATCATTTCCAACGGGCTGGCATTGGTTGCCAGCATGCCAGTAATAAATAACATCACATTGCCTAGTGTTGATTGTTTCACACAAGGTAAGATCTGCAATCTGGAGGCCCTGTCCCAATAAAATGTATGCTCTTTAAGTTCTTAAATAGATCATCTGTGCCTGTAATGTCAAAGACCTCCATGTCAGGCCACTCTCTTGAGTTATTTATAGAAGACAGGCACTAGAAACCTTGCTATTGTGTCCCACTTATCTGCCACATGTGTGAGGTGCAGTAAACACACATGATCCCTAAGAGACTTTTTCTAGAAGAGGCATCATGACGCCCACAGAAAGAATTAAGGAAACAAGTGAACAAACAGACAATGCTTTTGGATAGCTCAACTCCGCCCTTGCTTCCTGTCACCAAGTCCATATATGTTTCAAGCACATTTGAAAGAACAAACCTCCTGTCTATCTAAGGACTATGTAGGTTACCACATGCCTTAAGATTTACTAACTGCTTAGTTACAATATACAAAGGGCAAAAGGTGTATTTCCAAACAGATGTGATGATATATCATATTTGTTTCTTCACATTAACATCACAATAAACTACCAACTAACATGAAGACACAGAACACATTTAACCCCAAAACAAGCTGTGATTTGCAAATAATTGTTTAAATGATAAGAACAGCGACAATGCTAAATGAAAGTGGAAACCTCACTTCTAGATTTAAGTCAGAGATCCAAGTCAGCCTTTTAAGGATTTTAAGAGAGGCAATTAATGAATAGTTGTACTCTTCTAGAAGTGAGAAATACTGTAAGCCTTTTCTTACGATGATTGGTTTGAATCTACTTTTTTTTTGCCCCCAAAAGCATGCCAGGAATAGGTTCAGATGCTTGATTATGTCAAGAAGGAATAAAAGTAATGATTTTTTGGTGTAATACAAGCAATTTGTAGGTTCAAGCATACAATTTTTTTTTCATAAAATATTGCAGGTTAAAAATGATATTGTAGGTCTCAAGCCATTGCATTACATTTGAACAATTGTCACAATCACTATGTTTTGTGAAATTTAAAACTCTAACTTTTAAAGTGAAGCAATAAAACTAAATTCTTAAACAGTGACTTTTACCTTTATACAACACAGAAGAGTTACTTTTATTTAGGTTGGAGAAGTTATTTACAGCTAACATTGACTGAGTCTTGGTAAAGGTCCAATAACACATGAAGACAAATAACTCCTCACCTTTCTCAAAAAAACCAGTGAACGTGTTGGAGGTTAGAGGAAGCCTTAACAATGGTGATGTTAGTCTCCTAGGGTGGCTGAGCATGTAGTGTGTTCCTTCACCTAACTCAAAATTTAAAGCACCAAAATACAATTTAGAGCTATAAACTGGGATCTGCTTATTGAATCCCACATAATTAACAACCTAGAGGCACAGCTAATGACAGAAAGCTTTGATTGGTGCTATGCAAGAACTAATTGGAGTTGCCTTTTTTAAAAATCAGAGTTTTGTTTCCATTGACTCTTAAGAACTCTTAATAAAAGGGAGAAACATATATATTAAAGGAATTAAGTAAAAGATTAGAAATCAATGATCTTACAACAACGTGTTAAATCCTTTAATGGTTTTTAAAGAAAGGAAGACATGTAACACTGAATGTTATACAAGTCTTTTGAACTTCTCTTGGGCATTTAGATATATATATATATATATATATTTAATTATATATGTATATATGTTTTTACATTTGCATGGAGGCCAGAGCTTCTAAAATATCTTTTCAGAGTAGGCTATAGGGATCTATCATGAGATAGAATAAAATAATATCTGAGAATATTCTGTTTATTAGAGTATTTCTTTTCTGCTTTGACAATCAGCAAGAATCATAAATTCGAAGCAAAACGTGGTTTTTCTGCATCTGGGTCTGTGTTTAAGACTGAGGGAGACTCTCTCTGCACAGCTGCTGGTGGCGGGGGTGCTGGAGGCACTCCTCGGTTGGGGGGGATGGCTCCCGAGGACATCTGTCGGAACAAGGTGACACGTTGTGGCACCGTGCTCCTGCTCCCTGCCTGAAGGCCAGTGCTGTGGACTGCTGCCACGGGTTGAGGGATGGAGGCCAGGGACTCGCCCACAGTGGGATGAGGTCTGGAGACCATAGTGGAAACCTCATGAGGCAGCGAAGGCTGCGAGGCTGAGAGGGGCCTGACTTCTCTGGTCAGGTTGGTGTTATGAAGAGCTTGCGTGCTCTTGTGCACTTCATTTTTCGGTGTGGAGCTACCAGGTGTCTGTGGCTGTTGCTGTTGCTGCTGTTGCTGCTGCTGCTGTTGCTGCTGCTGCTGCTGCTGCTGCTGCTGCTGCTGCTGCTGCTGCTGTTGCTGCTGCTGCTGCTGAGTCTGCGGCTGAGTCTGCTGTACCTGGGACTGCTGTAGCTGCTGCTGAGGCTGCTGCATGAGTGACAACTGGGACGCCGTGGGAGAGGCATAGTGGAAAGTTCGCGTGGCCAGGGGGCTCTGTATAGGAGGACTGCAGACTGCTGTGGTATAGGAGCAGGGTGAAAGGATGGCTGAGGGTTGGGGCGTCTGTGTGCTGGGGCTGGGTGAGTGCAGGTTGCTGTGGGATAAGCTGGTTGCGGTATAGACTGGCGGAGACTGTGTCCTCATGCGAGAGGTTGGAGTGGTGGTCGAAGATGTGCAGTTCAGGGCTGTCATTTGAGGATAGTTGATTGGAGGGATAGCTTGTACCATCTCTCGGTCATGCTTCACAATCTGCTTGAGGATCTCGTTCTCCTGGTTGTTGAAAACACCAGTGTTCAGATCCTTCTGGAACTTCTGCAGGAGAATAGAGTTTTTCTTGCCTATCAGCAAAGGAAAAATAGGCACTTAGACAGGCTGAAAAGAACTAATAAAGCCGCACGGGCCTGGCTACTCCAGGGTGACTTATGTCAGCGTCACGACCAATGGGTTTAGAAGTCAAGAACTTACCTGTCACCATCAAACAGAAGGGAAATTTCTGCCTATGTAAAATTTTGCATCTGTTTAGAAATCTTACCCTCTACTATTACAAAAATTTGAAAAGAATAAAGATGACAAAAATAAAAGTTGCTTTATAAAAGAAATGTACAGGTTTAATAAAGTTATTTGAGCAGTAGAGAAGAAGAGGCTGTTTGGGTCAGGCTGGGCCTAGAATCATTTTAATTTTAAGTTGTATTTGCAAGACAAGACAACGGAGGATAAGAGACAATGCTGGAGCATTTGCTTTGAGACACAGTCAGCAAAAGGATTTAAGTAGAACCATTTATCCAGTGCTCAAGATTATGAAGAAGACAAATTCATCATATTTATGACACAGAACAAACAGGTAGTATCACTGTTTAAAAATTTAGGCCAGAAAGGAAAGAGGCTGTAACACACTTTCATGGAGAAATGTCTCAGAGACTTGGCCTTAAAACCAGTGCAAGATACTGATGATTGTTAATTCTAGCTACATATTTCTCTTATCTCCGGAGCTTAAAAAATAAATACAGAAGTCAGTGAATATCAATTATGTGAGGTCTAGATTTTAGCATTTGCAAGCAGCTTTCCTCAGGGGATGCTTATGTGTCCAACTTCAGGACATAAACAACCTTTAGTTCTACTTCCTATCATATTTTTTGAGAGTTTTGCAATAGATAGGCATTCGCTACCATAATATCAGTTAGAATGAATAGCTAGTTGGTAAAATAAAATAAAAATAAAATCACAGAGAACACCAGGAGCACACATCCCACTGAATCAGTTAAGTTGGGCACACATGGGCTCCCGGAGACTGCAGAGGCAAGCACATGGCCTGCTGGGATCTGTATCAGGTCCTGTGCATATATGTTATGCTGTTAGTTTGGTGTTTTTCGAGATTGATAACTGTGGGAGTGAGAAGGTGTGTTTGACTCTTTCGCTTGCTCTTGGAACTGTTTTCCTCCTGTGGGGTTGGTTGCTTTGTTTTAGTATATCTGTTTTGTCATGTTTGGTTGTTGTCCTTTGATGTCCTACTCTTTTCTGAAGGGAGAAGGAAGGAGACTAGATCTGGAAGAAAGGGAAGTGGAGGAGAGAGTGGGGGAAGAGGAGAGGGAGGAAAAACTGTGGTCAGGATCAGTTGCATAAGAAAAGTATATATTTTAAATAATAAAAAATATGAATGAAGAGATGATTATATATATATGTATAAACACACACACACATACACACACACACACACACACACACATGAGCATGGTAACTGAAAAGTAAATAAATTATGTTCTACTGTTAAATAGTACAATTTCAAGAATAACAGTATATTTTCAACAAGGTGCATTATGATAATTTTCTTGGATCCCAAGAAAAGCTATTTTTTAAAATTATTACCAAAATAGGTATTGTTCCTGTTTTCAAAGTTTCTCTAATTTCCTATAGAAAAATCCACATGTTAGTATCAATAATGAATACAGATATTTATTTGATATATTGCCGTAACTGACTACAATAAATACTTATGTATTGAACTCACAACTGAGATGGACAATATTACTTTTTATTTGAAGAAGCAATATTTCATGATTAAGGTACCTTTATTCATGGAAGGAATTAAATAGTTATCATAGCTTTAATGTACTGTTAGAATTTTATCAGTTTCAAAAATACCAATGTTTGGTGTTTACTAGCAATGTTATTCCTTGTGCTATTGACTACATTTCATGTAACTTTCTGGCAATATTATAATTTTAAAGAGAATGAAGATAAATCAGATTAATAGAAATTACTGAATATGATAAACTTTAAGAACATATCTAAAGATGTCTACTTGGTTTAGGAAACCAGTCTCAAATACAGGGAAGTCAGTCTCTGTGTCTAACATGAACACTCACATAGCCAAAAAAAAAAAAAAATTGTCTTTCAAATCCTGCTCTTAAGAATGTCTTATTCTATGGGTGCTATCTCTCTGGATGACTATGTGCTGTTAATTCCTTAAATTTAGTATGTTTGCTGTGCCCTGTGATAATGTCCAGATAGTATTTTTACTGCATCTATGTAAAATCTGTCATTCTGTGATATGTAGAGGGAAAGAAAGATGGGTGAGAGGAGATACTGTCTTAGAGTAAGACCTTACCTTTGTAAGAATGAAGCTCTTGAGACACCTGTTTCTTGACTTCTAACTGACCCCAACTCTATCTACTTCAGGTATATTTATTCCCTTCTCCTTCCTCCCCCCTTCAGTATACATGTGTTGTAGACCCGGTATTGAAACTGTAAGAGTAAGATAGAGATTCTCTTCTCTCTCCATTCATAAAATTCAGTACTGGTTTTTTTTTTTTTTGTTTTTGTTTTTTTTAGAACAGTTTCTGTAACAAAGGCAGTGCAGCGCGGGGAATGTAGGACACTATACAAGAACACATCAAGGGACTTTAGCTTGTATATGATGAGATGCCATAAAACATTTCTACAGAGAATAGTGTTTAAGCTGAACTATGAATCTACTGTAGAACTATCCTAAGACCGAGGGGAAGGAAAGATGAGATGGACAAAAAGTTAAGGTTTGAAGAGTGAATGCATACTATCTTGTAAAATTTCAGTGTATCTCCGAATAGATAGGGAATTTAACAGCAAGACAACACAACTCTACTTTGCTGTGGAAACTATGGAAATCTTTAGCTAACTAAAGTTCTACTTAATAAATTTTAGTTTTCTAGCAGAAAATACTTCATAACATAGAGGTTCACAATGTAAACATCTATGTAGGGCGTCTCTACAAATGATTTTGTTAGAGTCTGTATTACAAACATGTTGATGCTTCTGCTGAGACTGATTTAATTGCACAGGTTTTTTTTTTAAGTTTCTTATGAAGGTATAAAGTACAAAACTGGCCATTAAAGACAAAAAGTACCTTATGACAAAATTCAGAATGTAATATAGACTCATGATGTTAACATTAAGTACTATTTTAGTGCTATCTAGAGTTTGTACCAGTGTTTTTTACCTGAAGATTCAAACTGAAGTGATATCGCTTGGGTTATAAGACTCCATAGCTAGCGAAAACAGACATGAACAAATCAATCTAGAGCACCTAGAAGGAGCAGGTATGACCTCAGATCTTTCTAAACCACTATTTACTACACGGCTATTTGCTATTTGTTTTATACAAATTAACAAGGGATCTATACACTAGAATTTGAAATGAAAACTAATTTGTGCTTGAGGAAAGCGGAAAGCTAAGGAGTACCTATCCGATCTAGTCGGTCAATAGCAACTGTCTCAAAGGCTCTTCTCATCATTGGATATTCCTCCAAGACCTCGTTGAAATTATCCACTGAAAGCGAGTAGAGACGACAGTATGTATCGGCTCGAACACTGGCAGTGCGGCGGCCCTTGGTCAACAGGCATATCTCTGTAAAAAAAAAAAAAAAAGAACGGAGAATGACTGGATTGGTTATGTTCTTTTCCAAGTTTTGAATGCCTCTTATAATTAAAAGCTTCATGTGAGTAGCCCACAGTTAGAGACATTCATTTCAATTTTTTAGGGAATTCACTTGGTTATTAAAATCATGTGACTGCTAATATTCTTTTTAAATTTTATTTGGAGATTATAATATGACCACAACTATCCTTTATCTTTCCTCTGTCCATTCTCTACCACATACTTCTCCCTACCCTCATTCAAATTCCTGGTCCCTTTTCCCTCATCATTATTACATTCATATGCCAAATGTATATTCACATACAAACCTAATGTAACCTGTCTGCATCTGGAATGGAGGATCTGTCTGTATCTTGTGATTTGTATGTATGTGTTCAGTTTTGACCATTTGGCAATGGACAAGACCTACTTTAAAGTCTATAAGTGTTTTAGAACCATAGGGGCTTCTGGGTTCAAATGGGAGAGAAGAACATTTTTACTCTAAAAAAGAAAGGGGGTGGTTTGTTTAGAAAGATATTAAGAAACACATGATGGAATTGGAAAGAAAATGCTACAATCAAAAGAATTCTGTAAACTCTAGGGGGCAGGAAGCAGACAGTGTGATCTAGAGGGAGTTGTAAGGGAATCTAAATACCTTAGTATGCCTTCTGTGCTGCTTTAGATATTAGAATGAAGAAAAGACTATTTCAAATATGCAAATGTAGTCTCCTAATCAGATACTACCCAAGACTTCTTCACTAAAATAATATCCTCAAAATACGGCAACTGCATAGTTTTAATTAGAATTTCCCATTTGCTAACTGACCTACAAGACATTATTTTCAAAATTTTACTAACTAAATCAAACCATTTCAGGTTTTGTCTTCTTTTAGACTTGAAAGTAATTTACTTTTCTTTGTCTTTAAAATGACCAGTTTGGAGCACATGAGATGGCCTATTGGATAAAGTCATTCGCTACCAGTGCTAAAAGCCTTAGCTCAATCCCTGGCACCCATGTCGTAGACGCAACAAACCATTGGGCACAAGTTGTCTTCTGATCTCTATCTACATGTTTCATGGCACATGCTGATACATACATATTTACACACACACAAAAATAAACAAATACATGCAAATAGAAATAAATTTTGTACTAGTATAATTAAAGTTTTTGACGTATCGCTACTGTTCTATGAAGGATTTTTATCTGACACTTGAAGATATGAAAACAATGTGCAAGTAGATTACTACCCACACTACTTTATAAATTATGGTTCTTTATATGGATAAAATATGGAAAGAGACTTCAAGGTGGCAGAAAACAAAGAACAAACAAACCAGACAGCATTCTTCTGCTTCCCCAGAAATCTAACAGGAAACATTTGACCATGGTGACCTTCTATGGTAGAAATAGTTTGCTATTGATCTAGCTACACACATCAAAATGCATATGGTTTTTAAGAGATTCTTGGTTTTGTATAGCATGAAGGGTATTTGCCAGATGATTTTGAATCCTCAACTGTAGCCTAGACTGCTGACTTTTAGGTAGGATGATTCAGAAAATTATCTACGTTCTTTAGACATTGGACATTATTGTAAAAATGTAGCACTCAGTTAACATCTCATCAAATCTATTGGATAGGCTTTATTCATATCTAGTTATACAGTATTTTAGCCTGATACTTTCTGAACTTGTATGGTGTATGGTGCATAATAGTTGCTCAGTGTTTGCGGGTTGAATCAATGAATCAAAAAGCAATGTATTTTGAAACATCCACACACAAAAGGAAGATTCTCAGCACAAAAGTACTTAGTAACAAATATATTCACCTGCAAATTGTATTGTAATATATTATAATTGTCCTTTAGGCCAAATTTTCTCAGTGTGCTTTGTAGGGCGATAACGGAAGTGGTAAAAGGTTACTGTATTTGGCTAAGATAAAATTGTCAGTGATGTACCCTGTCACAGGCACATTAGAAAGCTTCTCTCAATTTCAGCTTGAAAAAGACTGTTGTTTGAGAGATTAGATTTGGCCTAGCACACCGTGTGACTACTTTTAATAATCCTTTGGCTATGAGATGTATCATCTGCCCAGTGCTATTTTTGCTGACATTCGTTAACCCTGATTCTAAACATTTAAGTCCTCATGACATTACTGTCACCTATATGAGCAGTTATTTCCCAAGGTAGGGCAAATAGCTTCAAGTATTTTTCAACTCAGAAGGATTTCACTGACCTCTAAAACAGTTTGACATTGAAGTGACACAGAGTTAATCAGGAACCCATGATAGGCTTTCTAAAGTAGTGTTTTTAGCCTGAGCTCTAGAATTTATGTGAAAAGTTGCACTCAGTTGTTTATTGTAACTGAAGCAAATATTGCTTCCTTTCTCAGTTCTCAGTATCATGAAATAAGAGAATCCATTATGCAGCAAAATACTATTTTTTCATTGAAATTTCTTGGATTTCTACTCCAGTATCTTATTTATAATAATATGTCAAAGAAAATATCTCTTTTTTCTTTCATATTTATTATATTTCTAGTCTTTCTATTAGATACACTAGAACTAATAAGATGTTGTTTCCATATGGTATAAAAGGCATTAATATTTGGATTTATCAATTTGCATAGCAAGCTTATCTTGTAGTGGTATTTTCAATGTTAAGCAGATTAGAAAAGGAATCTGAAGAAATGTGGACAGAACAAAACATTAAATGCCAGTTTTGTAGTACTATATATTTCAAATGTTATGATTTTAAAACACAGACTAATAATGATAAATTTTGAAAAATGGATATTATAAAGGAATGATTATATATTGATGAACTTCATATGCTGATAGGTATTTATCGATATGATATTTATATGGTATTTTAATGACCCAGAATATAAAATCTTGACACTTTCCGGTATAGATTTGGTAATTTCCCTGTGCATAGAGATCAACCAGCTTGCACAATTACTATATCTTCTCTTATCCTGTTGGCAATTGTTATTTATGAATATTTAGGTCATCAAAACTATTGGTTTGTCAAGCAAATTATAGCTATCACCTTATATTAAATTGATTCATTTCTCTTAAGAGATATAAATTAGTCATCTGCCAGAGCAGTGTGTGCTCTTAACTGGTGACCCATTAGCTCTATATTCTAGAAGTCATGAGACCCTCTTCTCATTCCGGTTAATTACAAACATTCTGACATGATATCATATTCCTTTGTTGTATATATATGTATTTTCACTGAAGTTTGTTCTCTCACCCCTTTTTTTCCTCTTAGTCAACCAATTTATGTTGTTGTCTTCCCATTCCACTGTGACTCTTTCAGATGCCTAGTAACAATGCAAATCTTATTTACATGGCATTGTTCATAAACTGTTATTAAATACACACATACATTAGTAGTCTTTCTTAAGTTAAAATACTAAATATTGATTATCTTGGGAATTCTTAGAGTGTCTGCTGCCTAAATTTAAAAAAAAAAACAGTCATTGTTATCCCTGTGTAAGCCAGTATACAGGAACTTAAATTTCAATGGCCATACATGTAACATAAAAATATCAAAGCTAAAGAGGGTAAGATCATTGACGTCTTGCTTCTAACCAGCTTTAAAAATATACCAGAGCACTCCAATTCTTTCCTTTTGATTTTAAATCTGTCAACACTCAACTCTTTAAAAGTTAATCAAACACTGTGAATTATAAATTTCTTTAAAAAGCAGCCAGATCTTAAAAAATTCATCAAATGATTTCAGCGCTTAGAGACCTCAGATGTGGTTTGTGAAGTGATTTCTTGTCAGCTCTGTTTTCCTTGTGTCATTTAATATGCTCGCACAAAATGGGACAGAAGCATTACAAAAATACTTTTCTCTCTTAGAAAAGATTCACTGTAAATTTATTAGACAAGCCTACCACAGCAAAAAACAGTTTGTTCTCAAATAGTTCGCACACCTCATGCAAACTTGCACATAATTCTCATGCACATGTACACAAGTGACAATATAAAGTTGATAGTATACTTCTATGGCTCGCTTAATACAAAAATAAATGACTAAAAGATTTCTACAGAGTTTGCTTGCTATAATATTCATAGCTGTCATCTGGAGACCTCAATAAAAAGCACATTAGGATTTTCTAAGTTTTGAACATTTCCCAACATTCCAAGGTGTTGTCAGGGGTAGGTTTTCAAGAAAATGTGTAATTGTAGTTAATGGAAAGTGATACAATTAAGAGATAATAATTGTGAAAACTTCCGCATCACTACTAGCATTTTGAAGCCACAAGGAACACATAATGCGGAAATTCCACCAACCTGGCCAGCATTAGAAATTCAAGCATTATGTCTTAAAAAGCTTAAAAGACAATCCCAGAGATAAATTCTCTTCTTGTTACTTCATAGGATTTTAAATGGCACATCACTAATTTTAGTGGAGAGAGTTTTGTTTGCCTGGAGTGACATGGAGAGACTTACATGAATTTTTTGGCATGTAGACCAGGGGAAAAAGAAGACAGAAGCAAAGAGAAGTAAGAATAGGGCAGTAGGCTGCAGTAATCTTGACTATAGCTTCACAGAACACTGTTTATTGAGATGAACTGTGGTTGATACATTAAATAAGAATATGGGATCATTGGAACATGACTTGGTTTAGAGCACAATTCTCTAAGAAATGAAAACATCTTTACCTACAGTGTTATAGCAGGACTTTTAAGACATATGCTATATGATTTAAGACATAGTCTATATGCAAAATGCTGCTTTAGGAAATAACATACATCTTGCTTTGCATGGAAAAACCAGTGAACTTGTCTTTCTCTGAAAGGCAAATTCTTTAAAAAAATATTTGTGGCACAAGGATAATTGCATTTAGTTTGCAAAATGAGCAGAAAGTGAGAATTTTAGTATTTGACCTAAAGGTATAAAAAGCAGTTTTGATACATTTAGAAATGAAGGACAGTGCTAATGCCTCAGCTAATGCCATCGCACTGAATGTGGGA